AGCCATTTGGGGAGATGCAAAGTGAGCTCCCTAAGAGCCCCCCATATTCGCCCACACTCACCATCACCCTGAGAATTGGCGGCTGTGTCCTCACAGGCCATTATTCACACCCCAAAATCACAACTACACACTTCGAGGGGTTACCCAGCGGTGTGCCATCAACACTCCAAAACACACATGTGTGGTCCTCAAAATCAGCCCCAGACACTGACAGACGCACACTTGCACGCTCGAGTCTCACAATACACACCCTCCCAAGGAACCCCGTCACCCGTATTCTCATATTGCCGTAGAGGCCGATCACCGTCAAACTCTACATCGAAGCACACACACAGTTTCACCGCAAATGGCCGCGCACACGCTGCTCCGCGCACCGGCGCGCACCTACACACCGCATCCATTCCCACGCACCTGCCAGTAAACACTGTCACACGCTTCCCAGATGTCACAGCCACGAATCGCTCAGGGGAGGACCCTCGTGTCCCTTCCTCGCACAGTGGCCACAGGCAACGCGCACGCCGCCGCCCCCGCCCCACGCACGCTTTCCCTAATGCAAACTCCACTCCGCCTTTTGGGGTCTTGCAGAGTCCTGCACCCCAAGTCCCGTCTCCTCCCTCCCTGCTCACCGGCCTGCGTCCCGGGCAGAAGTTGCAGCGCGGCCAGGAGCAGGCAGAGGCCGGCCCGCGGCTGGCCCAGGCCCCGGCGGCGGCTCCCCATCCCCGCGGGGCCCAGCCAGCTCCAGGCGGGGGACAGGACGGGGCGGCTGCAGGGCGCGGCGACTCCACGGGCTCGGTGCAGTCACCCGCGGCGGCCGGCTCCACTCGGGATCCGCAGGAGACTGCCCGAGACCCGCCCCGGCCTCGCCCTGCGCTCCAGCGCCCGGCCAGGCGGGGCTCGCCGGGGAGGGGGGTGACAGCTGGTGGGGGAAGTTGGGAAAGTTTGCGCCCGCGCTGATTGGCCGGCGGGGGTGGAGCCTTCGGCCGGGAGCTGGGCCGCCCTCGCCCCACCCCACGGCGGAGGAGAAGGGTCACTCCCACCCAGCCCTAGAATCCGGGGGTCTCAGCCTTTCCCCAAACCCTTTCCTCCTGCAGGTCCCCTCAAAGGACATCTTGGCTTCCTTCCAGCCTTCGGCCTCCACGCAGACGCTGGCGTTCAGGGAGGAGCAGCTTTATACCAAATCCTTTCTGCCTTGCTGGGTGGGGGGTGCCCAGCCTCACCCCAACTTCCACCCACCTGCTTTATTCCCAGTCCTTTAGCTTCCCCCCAAGCTCTTCCCTTCAGCTCCCTAAGTGAAAGGTCCTCATCTCACCACGAACCTCACCCCAGATCCCAAATTGCGGTTCCAGCCTTAACCCAAACCTTCAACTCTCCACGCACCCACATCCCAGAACTGAGTGTCCTGGCCCCACCCCAAACTCTCACCACAGATCCCAAAGCACAGTTTCTCCCCCCCTTTATTTCTCGATCCTCAAATAAAGGATCCCACCTCCGCCTCAACCCTCCCCTCCCCCTCCGCACCCAGGTCTCCAAATGGGTGCCCAGCCCAACCCCAAATCCGCAGCAAACGGGGGAGTCTGGCCCAAAGCAGGGCACTGCAGCCAAGAGGGGAGGGGTGGATTCCTGCCATTCCTGGGGCAGGGAGAGCCCACCCTCCTTGCACAGGGACCCCCCTCCTCCAGCAAGAAGAGGGCCCGGGGGTCAGGTAGAGCTTCTGTGCATTCGGACAAGTGCAGACTCGAAAGACACGAGAACTGTTTCCCCAGGGAGGATACAAAGGGGCGTGTCCCGGCCCCAAACCGCCCCCCCAAGGGGAAGAGGGAGACATGGGCAGTGCCTCCCTCCCAGCCTCTGGCTCTGCAGACAAAGAGTCTCTGTGTCCCTGGAGAGGAGGGGGTGGGGCCCCACCAAGCCTGAGGGGGAGACGGGGCCCCCCAGAGAGGGAATCTCCCTGAGCAGCTCCCCCTCCCTCCCCAGGGGCACCCGAGGCTGAGGTTTCTCCAACTAGAAGGCTCTCATGAAGTTCCTGCCCTGCCCTGCCTTGCAGGGAAGTTCTTCCTGCAGTCTAACCCCAGCTCCTGACAGGTCTACGCCCCTGGCCTCTTTCAAAAGACCCCTTGCGGGCTGAGACTCTCTGCCACCCTCTTTCTCTCCCTCCCTTCGGTGGGGGAGTCTTCCACCCAGAATAGGAACAGTCATTCCCCCACACTCACAGCCACTCTCCCCAGCCCTGAATCATTTACAATCATAATAAAAATTAAAATTAAAAAAAAAAAACAACGGTTACGAGCGTAGCAGGTGTGGAGAAGAGCTAGTTCACAGATTAAGGCAATGGGGTACGCAGAGTTTAAGGGGTTCCCTCCAACTGCTCAGCCCACAGTGTGGCAGGTCTCCCTGGGGTCCCCTTCGCCCGCCCTGCAGGGGATCGGTTGGAGGGTGCTTAGGAGGGGGGGTGGCCAGAGTCAGGTGCCACCGGCTGAGGTCACGCGTCCAGGGAGGGGATCAACATGGCCGCTGCACCCCGGACTGTGCTGATCTCGGGCTGCTCGTCAGGAATTGGCTTGGAGCTTGCAGTGCAGCTGGCTCGTGATCCCAGGCAGCGCTACCAGGGTAAGGGGACCCGGGCAGAGCCAGGAGACAGCCGGGGTGAGGACCGCTGTCCAAGTACCCTCAGCTCCCAGCACTGTTTCCGCCACCCCATCCCCTCCAGCTGCGCTCGTGGGCTAGGGCAGGACCCAGGATGCGTGGCGTGCAACGAGGATCATCCCTTCGCCCCCCAAAATATTTATTGAGCACCTACTGGGTGCCAGGCTCTGTGCTGGGTGCTGGGAACAAAAATCTTAAATAGACAAAAATCTTAGCCGTGGGTAGTGGCGTAGTGGGGGAAGGGAGGCAGGGCAGACAGTGAACCGATAAAAAGAAATTGTATACGTCTGGCAAGAGTAAGTGTTAAGAAAAATAAAGTAGGAAGGAGAGTGGCGAGAGGTGGGTGGGAGGTATTTTTAGAAGGGCTGGCACCGAGTGCTTCTCTGAGAAGCTGTCCCTTGGGCATTCCCTGGGATGGGATAATTTCCTCCCTGACACCTGCTGTCCCACCTCTCCCCAGATTACTGCTCTGAGGTAAGCCTCTTAAGTGCTCCTGACCTTGGAGCAGAAGGGGGGGCCCTCTCACTCTAGGAGCTCGCCCTCCTGCCGCTCTGGGCTCTGGAGCGATCGCCCAGACCTCACCAACCACGAGAACCCCTGACCCAGAGCAGCCTTGAGTCAAAGTGGGCAAAGGGTTGTTACTTAAGAGGAGGCTTCCAGGGGTGAGGCCACTGCCCCAGTTGGCAGGGCCACTTCTCACAGCCCTCTGCCTTCTGTTTGTGACACACACACAGCTCTCGCTGTGGCAGCCTGAATGCCAGTGTGCAGGGAAGAACTTGTGTCCCCAGGAGGGATGGGGGGGCAAGTGGGTACATGAAACTGCTCGAGGGTGAGGTTTCTGGAGCTCTTGTGATGGGCTGGGCTGCACCCTAAGTGTTCTGCATCTAGTAAGTCATTCGATCCTCACATCAGCCCTGTAAGGTGGGTGCTGTCATTCACCCCATTTTAGAAATAAGGAAACTAAGGCACAACTGTCAAAGGTCCTTGCTTAAGGTCGCCCAGCTAGAAAGTGCCAGAGCTGGGATTTGAATGCAGACAATTGAGCCCCTGGGCCCATGTTTGCCAGTATATTGCATGTAGATGCAAGAGGCCCCATCCATCTGCATGGTATCACCTGTGAATCACATAGGCCCACAGACAATATGCAAATGCCCCTGAAATGTGCGTGGGTGATTTGGATGCACACGTGAGGGGATATGCAAACATGTATGCTGGTGTGTGTGCAGACATAGTACATATGATGCTTAAGAGCACGAGCTTAGCACTCCAACAAACCCAGGTTCAAATCTCAGCACTAACACTTGCTGGGGGTGGGACAGGCAAGGAACTTCACCCTGTTGAGCCTCAGTTTGTTTATCTGTATAATGGGGGTCATAACTTCACCTACCTGTTCTGGTTACTATTGCTAAATAACAAAACACACACCCCCAAAAATTGTACAACAACCACAATAATTTTTTTTTTTAATTTTTTAACTCATGGTTTCCATAGGTCATGAATTCAGGAAGTGCTCAGCTGGGCGGTTCTGGTTCAGGGTCAAAAGTCACAACTAGAAGAGTGGGGGCTGGAACATGTGGAGGCTGGGCAGGCATCTCTCTTCCTTCCAGCGATCTCAAGGCTTCTCTGTGTGGTCTCCATTCCTGGGCTAGCTTGGGCTTCCTTACAGCATGGTGGCATCCAGACAACTGGGCTGCCTATGATGACCAATAAGAGTGAGCACTCTGGCGAACAATGTAGACACTGCAAGACCAAGCTGCAAAAACCACATGGCCTAACTACCAATGGTTCCTAGCTAGTCATAAGATTCAAGAGGAAGGGGATTAGACGCCACATCTTGATGGGGGAGTGGTAAGATTTCAGCAGAGCATGTGGGATGGGAGATATTGTTGTAGCCACCTTTGGAAAATAAGTGAGTGATTTAACTCATAGGGTTCTTGTGAGTTCGAGATGGTGCCTATAAAAGTACTTAGCACAATACTTAGCACATAGTAAATGTTCAATAAATTGGAACTTACTACGTTGATGATGTAAATGTGACTGTTCATAATTGAGTGTGCATATATGCACATATGTTGGCTATTAGTGTATATGCATTTTTTTCCTCATGGAAATCTGGAAGTTTTAAAATTATTATTATTTTTAGAGACAGAGTCTCACTCTGTCACCACGCTGGAGTGCAGTGGCGTCATCACAGCTCACTGAAGCCTTGAACTCCTGGGCTCAAGAGATCCTCCCTCCTTGCCCTCCTGAGTAGCTGGGATTACAGGTGCATGCCACCACACTCAGCTAATTTTTTAAAAGTTTTTGTAGAAATAAGGTTTCATTATGTTGCCCAGGCTGGTTTAGAACTCCTGGCCTCAAGTGATCCTCCTGCCTTGGCCTCCCAAAGCATTGGGATTACAGGCATGAGCTAAGTCTGAATAGATGCCGAAATCTGTTTTATATGTATGGATTTTATTATCTTACCTACTAAGCTATCAATTCCATGAAGGTGGGGACTTTGTCTATGTTATTTCATGGAATAGTCTCAGCACCTAGAATAGGCATAGCATACAGTAGATGCTCAATAAATGCCTGTTGCATTGAAGGATGAAAGGATGGGCGTGGGTACATATCCACGTGTGTACACCAGTGTGTATGTGTTAGCTGAGGGAGATATGTAGGTATGTAAACCTGTGGGTCTCTAGCCCTCTGTGACTGACAGCTCATGCAAGATCACAAGCGTTTGTCCCAGCTCTGTGCTCTGTTCCCAGTGGTGGCCACCATGAGGGACCTGAGAAAGAAGGAGACACTAGAAGCAGCCGCCGGGGAGGCTCTGGGACAGACCCTCACAGTGGCCCAGCTAGACGTGTGCAGCGATGAGTCGGTGGCCCAGTGTCTCGGCAGCATCCAAGGAGGAGAAGTGGACGTGCTGGGTGAGACTCTTGTGGCCGACACCAGAAACTAACTGAGGTCTGCGGGTGGGGTGGATTTCACGGAAAAGAAAATTCTCACACTCGGAGAAAACCATACGCGTTCGGGAAGACTGCTGAGTCACTTGGGGAATGGAACATGATGAAGAAACAACTCATGGTCCCTAAACCTTCGAAGCAGGGTGGGTGTGGCTGTCTGGATGCAATTTGGGGTCAGAGCTGAATTGCTCATGCATTAACGGGGACGTTATTCCCAGCGGTCCTACTCCCACTCAGGGCTCAGGGTCCCCCAGGACAAATGTTAAACTGTGCTTAACATTGGGGCTGTACCTGCGCCCACCAAGATACCCTAGACTTCCCCCGTACTTGGGGTGGGGGGTGACCCGGGGAGTGTCCCAAAGTGACACTAGAAGGGCCGAGGGACTTCAAGGTAACCCTCAGCATCCCTCCCTTAGTGAATAATGCCGGAATGGGCACCGTGGGGCCCGTGGAGGGGCTCAGCATAGCTGCCATGCAGAGCATCTTTGACACCAACTTTTTCGGGGCCGTCCGTCTGGTCAAAGCTGTGCTTCCAGGCATGAAGAGGAGGCGGCAGGGCCACATCGTGGTGGTCAGTAGTGTCATGGGGCTACAGGGTGAGCCATGGGGACCCACCCCTGGAAATTCTCCCCCATGCCCTGCCACCCCGGTGTCTGACTGTCCCCAGACTAGAAGGATGGCAAATAGGCTTTAGATCATATTCCAGATGCATCTGGAGAACTGTGTTAGGAAGGATTCTGAAGCTCAGGAGGAAAATGTTCTCGGGTAGATTAAGCATGTCTGCTATGAGGTAAGAGCAGGTAGTGGTTATTGCGCCATCAACAACCATCTCGGCTGGGTGCGGTGGCTCACGCCTGTAATCTTCATTCTGGGAGGCCAAGGCAGGAGGATCGCTTGAGGCCAGGAGTCCGAGACCAGCCTGAGCAAGATCCCATCTCTATCAAAAATAGAAAAACTTAGCCGAGTGTGGTGGTGTGCACCTGTAGTCCCAGCTACTCGGGAGGCTGATGCAGGAGGGTCACTTGAGCCCAGGAATTTGAGGGTGCAGTGAGCTACGATGATACCATCGCACTCTACCCGGGGTGACAGAGCAAGACCCTGCCTCAAAACAAAACAAAAAAACCCCAGCCATCTCTATCCCAGCATCAACCCACTTCTGGACACCTCCAAAACTCTCCCCCCAAAACCCAAAGGAACCATCAGAACCCCGCCTGAGACTCCTCCTTGCCACGCACCTCCCAGCAGGCCCCCGAGGTGCCTGGGTTTAGAAGGACTCTGAGGGTCAGCAGAAAAGAAATCAGTGGTTGATTAGTGATGTCTGCTACGGGCCAGCTCTGGCGGACACCTACTTGCCATCCGTGCTCCCGGGTCTCTCCTCCTCGAGCCCTCTAGACTCCCTTCCTCCCCCTGGAAATGTCCTGGGATCTGTCCCCTTCCTCTGCCGTCCCCTAAGGAATCCGCCTGCCCTACTTGTCACTCTGCTACAGCTGCATCTACCAGGGGTGACAAGGGCCCTGCTGAAGGGGGACTCCCATGCCCACGTGGCCCCAGGGATGTAGCAAATGGTGGATAAGGGGGCTCCCTGGGACGGGGTGACAGCTGACACTCCAGGACAGCCCCATCATGACCCCCTATGACCCCGTCAGACAATGCCACTCACCCGTTGCATTGGCACCAGATCTCTCCCTCGCCGGGGACCCCCAACTCCTCCCTGCTGGGTCTCCCAAAGACCCCATCACGCTGGGGCCCACAAAGCCCGTCCTGCAGACCCCCAGGAGCCCGCCTTCCTCCCATGCCCTCAGGCGTCATGTTCAACGATGTCTACGCGGCCTCCAAGTTCGCCCTGGAGGGATTCTTCGAAAGTCTGGCCATCCAGTTGCTGCAGTTCAACATCTTGTGAGCCGGCACTTTTGGGTGGGCGCGGGGAGGGGGCGAGGAATGAGGAGGGATGAAAGAACGACAGGAGAAATGCAGGAGCGAGGGGGAAAGGTTGGCAACATGGGCAAAATGGGCCGGGCACGGTGGCTCACGCCTGGAATCTCAGCACTTTGGGAGGCTGAGGTGGGAGGATCGCTTGAGGCCAGGAGTTCGAGACCAGCCTGGGCAATATGGCAAGAATTTTAGAAAAATCTGTACAAAGGATTTTAGAAATTAGCCGGGCATGGTGGCGCATGCCTGTAGTCCCAGCTACTCGGGAGGCTGAGACAGGAGGATCGCTTGAGCCCAGGAGTTCGAGGCTGCAGTGAGCTATGATCGGGCCACTGCCCTGCAGTCTGGGCCACAGAAGGAGACCCTGTCTCTGTAAATAAATAAACGGGCAAAATGGGGCAGCCGGGCTCACTCCCCCTGCCCTGCGCCCAGCATCTCCCTGGTGGAGCCAGGCCCAGTGGCCACGGAGTTTGAGGGGAAGCTCCTGGCGCAGGCTTCCACGGCCGAGTTCCCAGGCACTGACCCCGACACCCTGCGCTACTTCCGGGACTTCTACCTCCCAGCCTCCAGGGAGCTCTTCCGCTCAGTGGGACAGAGCCCGCAGGAGGTGGCCCAGGTGAGTGACGAGTGACAGGCCCCCATACCTGGCTCAGGTATATTGGCGGGAGGGGCCCTCCCGGGGGGCTCCCAGAGCTCAGGGCTGCACCCCACAGGTCATTGTCAAGATCATCGGCAAGGCGCGGCCACCCCTGCGCCGGCAGACCAACGCCCGCTACTCCCCGCTGACGCTGCTCAAGGCCCTGGAGCCCTCGGGCGCCCTGTACGTGCGGACCGCGCACAGCCTCCTCTTCCGCTGGCCTCGCCTCCTCAACCTGGGCCTTCGGTGCCTGGCCTGGGGCCGCCTCCCAACCCGGGTGGGGCCCCGGTGAGCGGAGCAGAGCCCCGCCGTCTGCCTGCGTACAGACTAGACTCTTCATTCATTCATTCATTCATTCATTCATTCATTCATTCATTCTGCAAACTCTGCCTCCCCCACTCCGTGCCTGAGCTTTGCTGTGCCTCAACCTCCAGGCACGGACCCTCCCACGGTCAGGGCTGGGGGCCGGGGCTGAGGAGCCCGGAGCAGGAAGCCGGAGCCGCGTCTGGGAAGGCAAGGGGGGCTTCCTGGAGGAGGGGGCCTTGAAGGACCAGACAGATTCTGGCTCATTCGCCGCACGACTTCATGATCCCGGGCCTGAGAATCCAGGCGTGAGTCACAAGCCACCCCGCCCCCACACAGACACCCAGGGCTCCGTTGGCCAAAGGGGACTTTCCCCAGAAACACGCCCCATCGGCAAGACGTGTTGGTGCACACGCCAGCGATGCATGCGTGCTTTTCCCATTAAATGCATAGTCACAACCACAAGCTGCTGTTATATTAAATATTTAAGAAAGATCAGTTTCTTAAATGTATTTATTTGTGTGTGTGTGTGTGTATGTGTGTGTGTGTGTGTGCGCAAGATAGAGTCTCCCTCTGCCACCCAGGCTGGAGTGCAGAGTTGTGATCACAGCTCACTATAACCTCCAACTCCCAGCCTCAAGCGATCCTCCTGCCTCAGCCTCCTGAGTAGCGGGGAGCACCAGGCCTGGCTAATTGTTTTATTCTTTTCGTAGAGACAGGATCTCTCTGTGTTGGCTAAGTTGGTCTCAATCTCCTGGCCTCCAGCAGTCCTCCTGCTTCAGCCTCCCAAATTGCTAGGATTACGGGCATGAGCCACCATGACTGGCCAATGTCTTAAATTTAAAGAAAAAATTAAAAAGCAGTCTGGGGGTGGTGGCTCATGCCTGTAATCCCAGCACTTTGGGAAGCTGGGGTGGGAGGATCACTGGAGGTCAGGAGTTTGAGATCAGCCTGGGCAACATAGTGAGACCCCCATCTCTACAAAAAATTTTAAAAATTAACCAGGTGTGGTGGCGCATGCCTGTAGTCCCAGCTACTAGGGAGGCTGAGGCAGGAGGATCGCTTGAGCCCAGGAGTCTGAGGTTGCTGTGAACTGTGATGATGCCACTCTCCTCTAGGCGGGGCAACAGAGCAAGACCCTGTCTCAAAGAAAAATATTAAAAATCGATAGGGTTCCCCCCTGCCCCTAGTCCCCAAGATAGTGTCCCCGAGTTTTCTGTCCTTCCCCTTAGGGACTTTGGAAGCAGATGGACTCTGGATTTGAAATGCTGGCTCTGTTCTGGTGCGCTGGGTGACCCTGGACAGGTGACTCCCTAGTCACCTTCTAAAAAGCACAGCTAGCAATGACAGTGCTGAGTGACAGGCAAAGTCCTCTTCACCCATCCATGTCACTTGAATTTTTGTCATGATTGACATTCAGCTACCATCTTTGAATGCCAGGCTCTAGGCAGAATTTTATTAGTGTCATTTCATCTGCCACACAGCCTCAGGAGATGGAGTTACTCACAAGCTCTGAAGGTCACAAAGGGGAAACTGAGGTCATGGGGAACAAAGGCAAGGGTGAGAATTGAGCCCAAGTCTGTCCAACCGCCAAGCCCATGTCACGCTAATTCCATGCTGGTCTTTAGGGGTCTCTAGTGGCCTCCTGCAGAAAAGGAGAGACTGAGCCCTATAAAGAGGTCTCTTTGAGTCTCTGCAGAGATAACAGGGCCCTCTGTTGCTCAGTCATTTTTGTCCAATAAACTCCCTCCTCCTGTCCTAGTTTAGATTTTTGAAGCAATGTTGGAATACCGGCAAAAGAACATAGGAAATCAGCCAGTGTGCAATGGCTGGCGCCCATAATCCCACCCCTTTGTGAGGCTGAGGTCAGAGGATTGCTCAAGGCCAGAGTTCGAGACCAGCCTGGACAACATAGCAAGACCCCATCTCTTAAAGAATAGGAAAATTAGCCAGGTGTGGTGGCGCACACCTGTGGTCCCAGCTACTGGGAAGCTGAGGCAGGAAGTAGAAGCTGTACTCAATATTTGCAGGTGGGGTGTACAGTGGCAGGTGGGGTGGTTGGCATGGGGGGTATGATTCAGACTGGGGCCTTAGCACCTGCCCTGCACGCCCACCTCACTCCTGTCTACTTTCCAAGGTTGGCGATGCCATAGGCCCCTAGTATCCACTCGATAAATTCTTTTGCTGCTCAAATCACCCTATTGCATAATGATGGCCGGGCGTGGTGGCTCACGCTTGTAATCCTACCACTCTGGGAGGCCGAGGCAGGCGGATTGCTCAAGGTCAGGAGTTCAAAACCAGCCTGAGGAGACCCTGTCTCTACTATAAAAATAGAAAGAAATTAATTGGCAACTAATTATATATATATATATATAATTAGCCGGGCATGGCGGTGCATGCCTGTAGTCCCAGCTACTCGGGAGGCTGAGGCAGTAGGATTGCTTGAGCCCAGGAGTTTGAGGTTGCTGTGAGCTAGGCTGACGCCACGGCACTCACTCTAGCCTGGGCAACAAGCGAGACTCTGTCTCAAAAACCAAAAAAAAAAAAAAAAAAAAAATGAGATGCGACAGGTAATTTAATATATGAAAAGACACTGAGCCTCACTCATAGGAGAAATGCAAGTTCAAGGCCGATTTTTATCCATTAGATCTGCATAAATGCAGAAGACTGATAATGCACCCTGCGGTCAGGCTATTACAAAGCAAGCGAGCTGACATATGGACATTGATCTTCTGCCGTGGAGAGGAATTTGGTAATGTTCTGAAAAAGTATAAATGCATAGATTTCCTTGGGCCAAGCAATCTCATGACCGAAACACTTGCACATGTGTGAGATGATGTATTCACACAAGGTCATTAACTGCAGCCATTTATGGAGAAAGCCCAAAGGGCCATCCATAGAGGACCAGTTGCATAAGTTATTGTTCATTATCTACACAATGGAATATATTGCAGATCTGTAAAAGAATGAGGACATCTGCTTGGGCTGGTTGGGAAAACCCTCCAAGGTATACATGATTCAAGGAAGTCACTGAAGTTCACACTATATGCACAGTATGCTGCTTTTAGTGAAAAAGTAAAAAAAAAAAAAAAAAAAAAAAAAGCATATATTCAGTTTTTTCCATTAAAAAATTTTGTGTTTATTTTTTTATTTTATTTGTGTACTTATTTGAGACAGGGTCTCACTCTGTCACCCAGGCTAGAGTGCAGTGGCATCATCAT